ACAGCTGCAGTGGGTGCGACAATGGACACATCGTTACCAGCATTGACTGATGAGGATGCAATTGTTAATACTCGCTCGCCACCTGTATGCGCAGTCGTACTCGCGTCGAGCTCTGATTGTAGCGCAGGTTCAGGGGCGCCCTTCTCGATAGTGTTAAATCCTTCCCCCCGTCTCCGAACCTCGAGATCGATTACCCTCCTTCTTGATTCGTGTTTCCAGCGCCCATAGTCATCCTCTGTAGCTTCAAAGACATCTATCCAGTGCTCGGGTAGACTGTCTTCCTGTCCTTCGAGTGTATCGAGCATCTTGTCTAGTTGCCTCCCCAAGTCGCTGACCTTCTGATGAAGCACAAGCGATATGGTGTCTACTGCCTTTTTCCACTGCTCGAATGCAGCGTCGGACGTGTCTGCTGGCGCCTCGATGGCATCCCAGCCTAGCCGCATAGCTTCTTGCGCCGTATCGAGTTCGCCGGTGTAACGGGGGGCTTCGCGGAGGATGGAGACGCGGGCGGTCCATGTGCTTAGGCGGGCTTTGAGCTGGGCGTGGTGCGGTAGGGCGGATAGTAGGGTCTGGGTGATGAGAAAGGAGAAGTCGTCCATGACCTTGTAGTGCTGGCGGTTGGCCTCGTAGCCCGCGGAGGACGGCCTCGACCTGCCTGCCGGGTGCATATCCAGCACATGCTTCTTCAGCTCTTCGACGTCAAGCTTCAGCATCTCGTCGGCGATGTCGTCGAGGCGCGCCTCGTGTTGCTCCACCTCGACCGACAGCATCGAACCCCAGTATTCTAATGGCGGCATGACATTGCCCATGTCGGAATCAGCGATATGCTCCCTAATGCGCAGCTCGATGCTTTGCCTCCTCTCCTCGCAGACCTGGGCGCTGGGCTGCTCGAAGCTGCCCGACCACCCCCATTGCTCAATCTCGGCGCACCATATCTTCAGCCGCTGCGCAGCCTTGGCAACGCGCGATCCCAAGTCTCTCTCGGCGGCGGTGAGGGTTTCGATGCAGGAAAATATTTTGTATTCGTCGCGTGTTGTGTCGAACGGCATGGGCTTCTGTGTGAAGGCGCGGAGGGTCGTCTCGGGTGACAGGTCGCGGAGACGGCTCTCTTCCGAGCTGCCATACGTCCTGCCTCGTCTGCCGGCGGGTGACATGGCTGGTGATGGGACGCGACGGGGTGTGAGGGGCGGGATCATGCGCATAGGCGACCGAAAGACGTCCATGATGGCGGCTGGCAATAGTTGAAAGAGCGACTGGTGACAAGGAAGGTACAAAGGAGACGAGTCTCAGACAGAGAAGGTGCGGCTGGCTTTGTCGCTATCAATGCGACGGTCAGTGGTTCGTATCCTTTGTCGCCTTCCTGTTGCCGTCGTGTTTGCGCTGCCGGCAGCCCAATGTTTATTGACTGACGCAGTCTTCGCCGAACATGTTGCGCCGTGCACTCTTGCATTGGTTCACCCGCCTTTCGATATGACTAAGCCCAAAAGCGTGCTAGCCGCAGATCACTTTCGGACTCGACTCCTGCGCCCTCACGAACATTGCGCGTTATCGCATTACGACGTAAGATGGCACCTTGATGGACCGCACAAAATATTTAAGTGAGATTCTCCGCGCATCGTCCCTGAGCTCTAGTTCTGTGTCTTCTACGCTGCCAAGTGCATCGCGGAATAAAGACGCGCCCATCACGCGTCTCCGCACTCCCCCGCATTCAACTTCACCCGGCCATCCTCTGCTCTGTGCCGTCTACGCAGAACCATATTATACTTTCCACCACCGTTACTTTTCTTCGGACGGCTTTCGGGTCAGCCTCTGGCGACGTGCACGGAACTGTCGCATCGGTATCCGCGCTTTTCCGATCTGCTATCTGACCGTCAGATTTTGACCGCAGAAGATACGTGCATCGAAGCGGCATCTCTTCCTCATTCCAGAAGCTACCCCACCACGTATATCGTCATTGCTCTCTGCCAAGCACCTTAATGCTCCGCCCCGCGTTCATATCTCTCTGACCTTCCGGAGTGCGTTAGCCAATTGCCTGTATACCTCGCGGTTACGCAGTGCCTGCGTCCAGCTACAGCTACCCGCATGTCGGGATACGATGGCACGAAAGAGCAGGGAACTCGCCAGGCTCACCTGCTCTCAGTAGAAGCAGCTATCCTCGGAATGGAAACCTTGACGTTATCGTACCGAACGCCGACGGAACTGTCTGCAAGTACTTAAAGTACCATGCGACCTACCATTGTGCGGTACCCTTCTGCCTCTGTGAAGTATGCATTTGTCAGTCAATATGAGAACGGCACTTCTAGCGCTCGCTGCCATTGGCGCTCAAGCCTGCCAGCGTGAACGTGCATTCTTCCATCACCCGCATAAGCATGTCAAGAGGCAATCCGTCTTCCCTCCAGCATTGACACCCAATGAAGAGATCTTGCTGAACTCGTTTGATTCCGTCTCGATATCGGAATGGTCATACTACTACAGTATGGCTCTCAGGCTCGACAGAAAAGTGTATGCTAACAAAAAGCAGCCCATGGCCAGCATTTGGCCGGTCAGAACGAGTCAATGGGTATTTGAAACCTTTCCGGGCCGATCCGACATGTAACTAATCCTTGACACAGCACAGTGGACTGCCGACAAATGGTCTGAATATGGCTTCACGTCCAGGCTCGACGAGTACTGTATGGAACTGTTCATAATCGTTACGGCAGGCACTAAAGAGACGCAGATGTCTTCCTCAACTATCCTGTATCAAACTCGCTACAGCTTACCTATTCCAACGGTAGTACTTACACCCCGACCCTCATGGAAGACGTACTGGAAGCGGACGAGACCACCAGCTATCCCAACAGTGTCCCCGTCTTTCATGGCTACAGCTTTACAGGCAACGCATCTGCAGAATACGTTTACGTCGGAAGAGGCCAGCAGGTCGACTTTGACCGCCTCGAAGCTCTTGGTGTCGAGCTTGAGGGCAAGATCGCTCTAGCAAAATACGGTGGACCATTCCGTGGACTGAAAGTCAAGAATGCACAAGACCATGGCATGATTGGTGCTGTGATCTTCACCGACCCTGGTGACGATGGCAACATGACTGAAGGTGAGCTCATTTGATCTCTTCCTAGACCTGCTTATTGACGATTTCCAGCGAAGGGAGTGGCTCCATACCCCTACGGCGGAGCGAGGAACCCTTCAACCGTTCAACGTGGATCCGTCCAGTTCTTGTCAACTTATCCAGGAGACCCAACTACTCCAGGTTACGTCTCCAAGCCAGACTCCCCGCGCGCAGATCGCACCGATATCACCCCGCAGATTCCTTCCCTGCCTATTTCCTGGATTGAGGCTCAACCGCTTCTCCAAGCCCTTAACGGCTTTGGAACCAACGGCACCGAAGTCAACAGGACGCGTTGGGTTGGTGCTATCCCCGGCGTAGACTACTTCACTGGCGAGGGATCCGGCGCATCGCTTTCAATGAGCAATGTAATGAACGACACCTATGGTACCATCTGGAACGCAGTAGGTATCATCAACGGTACGAACGAAGACGAGGTCGTCATTGTGGGCAATCATCGTGACGCTTGGATTGTTGGCGGTGCTGCCGACCCCAACTCCGGATCTGCTGTACTCATTGAACTTGCCAAGGCATTTGGTGCTCTTGCCGAGACAGGCTGGAAGCCAATGCGAACAATCGTTCTCTGCAGCTGGGACGCCGAAGAGTATGGTCTTGTTGGAAGGTAAGACTACAACCTCACATGAACGAGCCAGGGCACTGATGAATCATAGTACTGAGTGGATGGAGGAGTACATCCCTTGGCTGAAGAATGCCGCAGTATCCTACCTCAACATCGACGTTGCGGTCAGCGGACCAATCCCAGACGTTTCCGCAACCCCAGACCTACACGCCATCGCCACTAGCCTGATGAAGAAGGTCGTGTACCCCTACCGCAACGACACCGGTCTCACCATGTACGATGTCTGGTCGCACGAGAGCGGCGAAGTGGGTGTGCTAGGCAGCGGAAGCGACTACACTGCTTTCCTTCACCGTGGTATCGCATCCATCGATATGGGTGCCGGAGGTGGTCAGTAATATTCCTCTGCGAACTGTATGCGAGACAGATACTGACTTCGTACACTCATTTCTAGGTCCAAACGATCCCGTTTACCCTTACCACAGCAACTACGACTCGTACCACTGGATGGCCACGTTCGGAGACCCTGGATTCGTCACTCACAAGGCGATGGGCCAATTCCTCACTCTCCTCTTGTACCACATGGTATCTGACCCCATCCTGCCACTCGAGCCAGCAGATTACGTCTCAGAGTTCAACACTTACCTGGAAGCTCTTGAAACGGACATCAGCAGCAGCAACTTCACCGTTGACCTTACAAACCTCACTGCCGCTATCACCCGATTTGAAACCTCCGCCCAGGAGTTTGTCGATCTGAGAGATCAAGCTGTTGCTGCGAATGATACGGAGCTCATCACTGTACAGAACCACAAGGCGAGAGATTTCTCCCGAGGCTTTACCTCGCAGGGTGGCTTGCCTACCAGAGAGTTCTATCAGCACGCTATTTTCGCTCCTGGACGCGATACGGGATATGCGCCTGTGACGTTCCCGGGTATCACGGAAAGTATCACGTTTGATCAGGATGCGGAGTTAGCGCAGGAGTGGGTGCAAAAGACTAGTGATGCGATTTTGGTCGCCGCTAGCATCTTGAAGACCTAGAGAGTCGACCTAAACGCAATACTGCGACGACAGATTCGGTGGTAGTGGAGGGTCGAGGCGATACCCTAGTAAAGGCCTTGATAAGGAAGAGATAAGTCGTCAGTAGTAGAAAGAATAATGATAATGTATGCTACAGACTCCAGGCCTCACCTCTCCCTCTACTTCACAACAGCAAGTAAGAACCCATCATAAGACTTCTCCCCCACCGTCTGCAACACGACCCCATCCAACCTCTCATCCCTCCCCACATTCTCCACCACCCTCTTCGCCCCCGCAACCCTCGGATCATCCGTCTCTTCCGCTAACTGCCCCTTCCGCACCACATTATCCACAATAACACATGCACCCGCCTCACACATACCCAGCGCTATATCCACATAGTTCCAGTTATTCTCCTTATCCGCGTCGATGAAGACGAAGTCAAATTTCGGCCTCTTGCCGTCTCTAACCTGCTGTGCCAGAGCAGGAAGAATGTCCAAACCAGGCCCTTCTATGACGTCCACATTGTCTTCCAAGCCCGCGGCCTGGATATTCGACCGTGCGACATTGGAGTGGTGCATATCGACTTCGACGCTTGTTACGTTCACATTGGGGCTGGACGTTGCGAGCCAGATGGTGCTGTATCCGCCCAATGTGCCTACTTCGAGGATGTTTTTGGAGCGTGCGAGGCGTGCGGTGAGTTGGAGGTATTTGCCTTGGGATGGCGAGACGGCGATATCTGGGAGACCGGCTTTCTGGGAGGCGTCGAGGGCGTGTTGGAGGGCGAATGGGGAGGGGGTTGTGCGCGTGGAGGGGTGGAGGTGGCCGAACGAGTAGGTGTCAACAGCTGTCCATCGTGGGTCCTTTTCGTGGGATTGCCCTGGCTGCGGCATGGTGAGGATGTTACTAGAGCTTCAAGTATGGAAGTTAGTTGCTGGTTAGTTACGCGCTCTGGATGCGCGAGTTAACGCGTCTTTATAGACAGATCACGTCGGTTCTGTCGGCCATGTCGGATGTCACCCGTATCTCATATTGCATCCGCCTGAAGAGCATTGAGCAGTCATTGGATGGCATTGGGGAGGGGTGGTGGATGAGCATTCAGCCAGCTCGCGGAAGCTTGCTATGGGGCGATCTGATAAGCATAACTCCGAGCTTCGATCTCCGATATCGCCGAGCACACGCGAGCAGTCCACGAGGCAAGCACGCGAACCAAGCAACATCAACAAAGGGAAAGTAACGATTGTATCATTCAATACGCCTTCGCCATCTCACCTACATACTCATTGATCGCCTTCCTGATATCTACCTTCTTCACAGCCTGCAGGTCCTTCAACTTCGCGTGTGAAGCTTGGTGCGCGAGCCGTCGCGCTTCCGGGGGCAGGGGCGGAAGTCCTTTGTTCACGTCCAGCGATGTGACACGCGTTACGTGCTTCAATGGGCTAGGCCTGTACGGCCGGTGGAAACCATACGGCATGATGTTGGTGGAGTAAGTGCTGCAAGGCCTTGGTCTGCTGAAGCTCGAGTTGTGACTCCCTCGTTGGGATTTGGCGGTGTCGCTGGGTACTTTTGGGCTGGCGCGATGGCTGTTGAGGGTTCGCATAGCGTTGAGGATGTGAGCTGAGGTGGATAGATCTGATTGGGCGTTTGACGCGTCGGCGTGTTCCCTGAACGCAGGATGGCAGTGGTTGGGTGCTATCTGGCTCGCGCCAGAAGCTCGTAACTTGGCATTGGAAAGTTTGGCTTGCAGCTTCTGGTCAAATTTCTCCACCAGAGTGGTGTTTATTGTGGAATGGGATGTCGTTCTGCTGATACGCTTCCAGAGGCCTACAGAGGATTCCTTGGGACCTGGTGAGTTTGGTCTTGCGTTCTCGTGAAGGCTGTCGTATTTCCTCTTGGGCCTCAGCCAGGATAACATGGTAGGTCTCATTTTGGTCGCCTGAATACCAATTTCCGCTTTCGAAAAGTCGACCGAGTCAGCTGATGAATCGGATGAGAAACATGATCGGGATATCTCATGGTCTTCGCTGGAACGTCGTTCATCAGATTGGTCTAGATCTTCGACGTCATCCTGTCTGGGTGGCTGCTCCGTCGCTCCATCAATCCTTACAGTCTTTGGAGGATTTCGGGGTTGAGGTGGACCGTGGTGGCATACGTCTATGCCGTTGGACTCAAGAACTTCCGCTCCGCAACTTGGCTCACTAGACTGGACTCTTTCGTTTTCAATGCCACTCATTGTTGACGCATGCCCTTCTTTCCCAAGGGTCGCTACGTCCCATTCAACAACTCCCGACCGTCTTACGGAAATCCGCCATGTACTATTACGCGCATCCGATTCTCCGACAGCTGTAACCTCTTCTTGCGCGAGATCGTTTTCCGGGAGATTGCCATCATCGGGCGCATACTGGGATACAAGCTCTGCAATGTCGTCGAAACTCAGGTTTTTGTTGCGGAGCAGGTAGGAGAACCTGAGCCAGTCCAGGTCGCTTGTCGGGCCGAGGGTGACCACCATTGGCGTACGTGGAGCATCAAGATGGAGGTCTTGGAGGTATTCATGTTGCTTCCCTGTTTCCGTGCCGGTGCATTTGTCGCTCTTAGACTTCGGCGCGGTGTTCTGGTGGACCTCCAAAGCACTATCCTTTCGTCGGCGACCTCCACCACAGGATTCGCAGTTCGCCCAGCAGCCAATATCTTCACTATCGCCGCCTCCCCGAAGAGGCCACATGTCGCCGAAGGTGTGGACAAACGGCGAAGGCGAAGATGCCGGCGAGTCCACCTTGCGACGACCATCAAGGAACCTGACCACTCTGATAGAGTCATCGTCGTTACCGACGATCTCATTCATCAATGGCCATTGTTCGTCCTCTTCTCCCCCACAACAACTGATGCGTTCCAATTCTTTCAACGCAGCTTCGAACCCTGATCGAGCCTCACTTAGCAATCCTCGATCGGGACGCATCGTCTCTCCTTGGTAAGTCGCCACGGATTTTACTCTTTCTCCTTTTCCGTTCTCTTGCATCTTGCAATGCTCTTCACGTAACCTGGTTGCGCACGGTCGGCACCGTACCAGCGTGTATCTAGGCCAGTCTTTACTCTGTCCCTCGACTTGGTTTGGATCTATGACTGTATGTAAGACTCCCTTCTGGTCAGCTGGCTTTGAGACTTGAACGAACTCGTCAGGATGACCGCAGCTATAGGCACGGCGAAAAACGTATGGATATGCTGGGGGTGTAGCTTTGTGAGTCGTCACAAGCTCAGTCTGCACTTCGACTACTACTGGGTTCTTATCAGCCATGACTCTTTGTGATAGTGGGGTCTTTCCGCGGTATTACTCGGGAAACAACAAGAGTGAGGAATGACACATACAGTTGGATGTTGGTGTTGCAGTTTGTTGGCCACGCGGTCACTATGTTCGGGGCCGATACAACACGATTGTGCCACCTCAACGACAACGACGCACCGCGCACCGCCGTGACATAGCATTCGGTTTGAAGAGCGAATTTCCCAAACATTTGAAGATGCAGCGACGTTAGTCGTCTTTGTGAGGCGTCGACGTTACGCCACACATCTCGTTCCGTCGATTTAGCGTCGTCAATGATCATCGTGACTAGGGCTATGTAAGGGTTGAAAGGCTTTTCATTCAAGATTATTGAACCCGCCGTGGCAAAGTTCATTATTACGCTGTAACAAGTAACGCCATATCACCATATCCATCTTTGTGACGCATCCGTCCCCCGGATATCGGATGTGCAAATGACGCTGCTCCAAAACGATAACGCCGCGCTTGCTAAATGACCAGAAAACTACAAGAAGATCTAGAACCACACCGTTCGCAATAATCGCCTACGCACCGTAGTTTTGTCCCGTACTCACGGCTGCATATCCGGCTGGCGCGTGACCCATATACCCTTGGGGGGCCAGCGGATCGTGGCTTGACATCGGGGGGCTCGTTATCGGCGGACTAGCAAGCGGCTCCATAGCGTAGCTCTGGGGCCGCGAGACGTATTCTGTGCTTTGTGCCGTGAGCGGCACCATGTCTTCGGGTCGTGTGCTCCACCGTGCCGTATTGCGCATCTCTTCCAACCCCGCGTCGTGCGGCACATGCCCGTGTGCCGCACCCGTCTCGTGCACGGATTCATGAGGACTATGTCCGTGTCCGTGGTGTCCAGGCTCTTCGTACTCCAACGCATATGGTTTCCCGCTCTTTTGGAGTTGCCAGTTGCAGTAGATTGAGCTTAGCTTGTCGCTGACCAGGATGAGGAAGAGGAATACGACGCAAATTGGTAGGAGCGCAGGGGACTCAATGACGGCATGTAATCTCTCCGTGTCAGCCATGAGAGCCAACATTGCGCCGCCAACACCGAGGGTAAGACCACGCGATATGATAGACGTGAAGTCGAAGAGGTCGGCCTTGTGACGGCGAATCAACAAAAGAAATATGATTAGACAAACGAGAAGGAGGCAGAACGACGACCAGAAGTAGAGATAGACGAGCTCGAAACCTTTGAGACCGACTTCGAGAGGACTGTAGTCCTTTAGTTTGTCGACTGGGATCTTCATGCCGAGACCAGTGTATAGGCCGTTGTTGAGAAGGTGAGATACGTTCTTGAGTGCTCCGGGCCAGTCGTCATCTTCCTCGCCCATGTTGTACTGTGTGGTGTTTTGCTGCGAGCAGATGTTTGTAGCGTTACCGACACTCCAGATGGCCGACTGAGCTTGGTTGTAGAAGCTCTTAGTCTCATACTTGCTGTCAAGCTCAAAGTACTCCAGCAGATATTGCAGCTTATCCTGAAGTTGTTGACCGTCAAGATGATCCGTCTGGCAGTATTGCAGGATGGACGTAGTGACTTTCCGTGTATTTTTGGCAACGTAGCGGGCCAGAGCAACTTGTTGCGAGCCTTCCACGACACCGACAATAGCGAGTTGAAAGGGAAAGTGTAACAGCGACCATATTTGCTGACGAATAGTCCCGTAGTGACCGTGGGGAAAGTTGTCGAAGTACCTGAGTATTGTTAGCCCACATGTGTCATGTCTTCCATACCTGCATGTACTTACAGAGCCCAAATCAACACAAGAACCACGATGATACACATGATCAAGAAGCACCCCTCGACTTCCAATCCGTGCTTACCCATCATCCTGCTCACTGTCTTTGTGACACCAATCGCACCCTCGCCAATGACGATGATGGTCAATAAGCTCATGCGCTCCATCAAGTGTGTCTTTTTGAAGCTCATCATGCGCCAGAAGCAAGATATAGCAACGACTGCGACGGCTTCAACTACCATGACGACGTACCAAACAAGGTAGACCAGGCGTCTGCGATGGTCGCCCTCAACCTTGAAGGCGGGTGTCATCCCGGCGAATGCGCCCATGCCGATCGCATAGACTGCGAACATGAGAATGATAGGAAGGTAGATCTTGGTATACTTCGCTCTCCAGGTAAAGAAGAGCACGACTAGATATTGGATGGCGAGAAGACCGCGGCTTATGACTAGGGTGTAGCATAGGATACGGAAGTTCTACGGGACTTAGCATATCTTTTCCTCAATTTGGGCAATGAACTTACGGTATTGTTCCCTTGACCTTTCGCGCTCGCTGGGTTGAACTGGCTTCCGACTAGCGCCAGACCGACAAAGACGATGAATTGGATCGTCTTGCACACACGCTCATAGAGCGAGTCCCGCGCAAAGCGTACATCATGCAGCGTGATCTGGAACCAACACGACCACAAGATGCCAAAGAAACCGATGTATGCCAGCAGGTAGTCGATGTCGGTAATGGAGTGGTAGGCCGTAAAAGTCGCAAGATTAGCAACGAAGAACAAATCGAAGAAAAGTTCCACGCTATTTGCTTCGTGCCGTTGAGAGAAGACGAGGTGTTCGTGATCGGCACCAACTAGCGGGGATTCGATAAACGGTGTTGTCTTGTGCAGCCGTCTAAGATGCTTTTCCGCATCAACATCGCGTTTGTGGCCGTGAAAAGTCCAGCCCATGATGCCAATCTCCCACGAAGTCAACGAGAAACAACCACAACTCAACTACAACGGTCGGGAAAGGAGCAGCGAGGTTAAATCAAAGACAGACGGACAAGGCTACCAAGACAAATACGAGCAGTTTTCGGCCCTGCAGAGATTCTTATGCAAATCCCAATTCGCATACTACACGCGACACGAGATAGCCCCGCAAGCTATGGCGCATGTTCTATCTTAGGGTTGGAGGCCCAGGCCAGCAAGTACGGTTCCGCTTCGAGTCCGCTAGCAACGGTACCAATAGCACCGCATAGCGGCGCGTTACACGGTGGGCGCTGGCGGAGCGCGCATGGCGGGTTAGGTCGTGCTAAGCCGGAGGAAGCTTTCACCACCAAGCCTGCGCGGGTCGGGCTCAGCAGCAAAGCCAGCGCAACAATGCTGACAGCGCTATCGTGAATCGGAAGGGCACAGATGCTGGAGTACTGGTCGTAGCGTACGTCGGTCCAATCATTACCTCCACGTGAGGCTTGGCGCGCTGGTGTGTCGAATTAGACGGTGTGGAAGATAGGAGAGTCAGCTCAGCCCTGGGATCCGTAGACGGGCCGCTAGCGGTGCAGGCGTCCAGCGTCGAGTTTGTGGCGGAGGTGCCTCGCCAGCTAGCCTCTTCGTAAGACGAAGTCATTGCTGCAGCAGTTGAAACGCATCGTTTTGGTGTGCATTGGTAGAGGTGCTGCAGTAACACTATACGCAGCTCGCGATCACCCGTCCGCAGCCGCTCAGCTCGGCGTTCTACGTTGCCTCAACAGCGCCCTTTTGCATCCACAGCCTCTTTTCGGCAACTATCAAACCTCACCAAGCCGGCGTTGCGCAGATATCACCTCCTCCTCGCTCCCGGTCTTACACGTCCCACCCATCCTCAGAAGCTCACAACACTGAGCCGAATGTGTCACCCGGTGATCCAGAGGTGCATGCTCATGCACCTCACGCCCCATCTCTAACAGCTCGCCTGATGTTCTTACATGAGGCCCGCTATTTGAAGATGGGAGGAACCGCAAACACAGCCATTCTGGTCCACATTCAGTAAACATGCCGAGCTTACCTCACCCAGCAAAAATCTTCACAGGTCGTTATGTGCCTTCCGTCTTGGAAGACTACATATTTGCCCACAGCTAAACAGATGTCACGACGGATGTTCAGAGAATATTGATATTGTATTGGCTGAAACCGCAACCAGCAAACGATTTCTAGATCCGCCATATGAACGCCGCGCTGATAGACAAGGTTCGGGGGGCCTTAGCCATGCAAGTATGCTGTAAAATGCTCCAAGAACGATGAAGTCTTCACTTCCGTATCAGACCAGTCCGTTCATTCGCGCCCTCGCCAATCTCCTCCTCTTCATCTTCGTCTTCGCTATCATCCTCGCTCCATCCTTCGGCTTCCAGTCCATCGCCACGAATACCGAAGCTGAGGAGGAAACCGAGGAGTGCGATTCCAGCAAAGATACCAAAAGGTAAGGCTTCACCTTTGGGCTTCAGCTTGGTAGCGGCCGTGAAAAGCGAACCTGACACGAAAGGCCCAGCAGCGCGACCGGCAGCAGAGAGTGTCTGGGCGAGGCCATTGAGAGTACCGAGCACGTTGTGATTGGGGGCGGAGTTGGTGATCTGCTTCATGTCAGCATCTATAGAGCGCGTCAAGTTGGAATTAGAGTAACTTACCATAAGAAGTGCAGCTGTCAGACCACCGACACCTGCAATCGTCTTGATGACCAGCACAACGCCGAGCTCAAACCACAACCACCCAGCACCCGTACCAATGCCCTTGTATCCATTGCTCTCTTTGTAACCAACAAACGGCATGAGACCGAAGGCTGCAATGAAGAGCCCTAAGCTGACTCTGTACGCCATCTTGTTCCCCAGCTTGCCTCGAAGTCTGCCAAATATGCCCACCTGGAACAGTATCGTGATAGCGCCTGCAAATGACAGAGATAGTCCGACAGCTTCAGGCTTCAGGCCGCGTCCAGTAGGTGGCTGCTCTTCGGCGAAGATGGGATATAGGGAATTGTACGAGATGTTAGCAAGTTGGAATATGAAGTAGGTTATGAGAAGCAGGACTGTATCCCGGTTCAAGATCTCCTTCCGCGTGAGTTCCTCGCCGCTACTGTGTGGAAACAGCGTAGGCGCAGACTCCCCAGAGGCGTCGGACGCGTCGTCCTCGTCCACATCGTCCACGCCACCGTGTGAGTTGTGGGATTTGTGATTGCCTAGGAGGCGTCGTACGTAGGTAGGTCGCGTGGAGCTGGTGAACTGCCACATCCACGAGAACAGGTTTCCCAGTCTCTTTCCAAGAGGTGGCAGATTCTTGGCTTCCTCCAAACTCTCCTCCAAGAAGAGCATACACACTATCAGGTCTATCGCGAGGACGAGGGCCGAAAAGAGGTTCGGGAGGAGGTACGGGTAGGGATTCGACTGGCTCTTGTTGAACGGGTTCTGGTAGAGCACCAAGAGTCCTCCTACGATCGGTCCCGTTATGCCACCGATACCGTAGACGACGGGCAGATAGGTAAAGGCGCGCGATTGGTTGCTTCGATCCGTAATCTCGCCCAAACACGTCGACACGACGCCAGAATTTCCGTTGACAAAGCCCATCAGGGCCTGCACGAGTATAGCCTGCCATAGCTCTCTGCAGAAGCCAAAAGCCAGAAAACAACACATGGTCAAAAATGTGCCCGAAATTATTACCGGCTTTCGTCCGATCTTATCTGACAACCAGCCCCAAAAGAAGTTTGTCGTGAACTGTGCCAACGCGAAAGACGACGCGATGAGTCCGACGTATAGACCTGTCTGCCCATCCTTGACTGCGGAAAATGATTTTGTCATCTCTGGCAGATAAGGGCCTATCGAGTTGAGGGCGGTTTGCTCGGCGAGAGCTATAACAGCTAGAACGATAAGCTGCTTCGTCGGTAGGGGCGAATCATGGTGCGTATGGCTGCCGTCTTCGGATCGGTTGCCATCTTGACCGGACGGGGCGTCAGATGGTGGTCGGCCGCGGGATTTAGGGGGAATCGTTGGGAAGGTCGTATAATCTACATGGCGATGTATCAAGTCAGTATGCGTCCCTGTGTATGTGGTATAGAGATGTTGCCTACGGAGCGTTGACCTGCGCGCATCGAGTCCTGGCCGGTTGGATGGCATTGTCGCGGAATGTGCTACCTCAGTGAGGCCGAGTTATTACAGCAAGCTTTCGCATGCATTGGCGCAAGGCTGTTGTTGTGTATGTCGACACTAACGCGCGGGGCTATACAAGAATGTCAGATAACTCTATAGGGGCGCGACTTGATGATGGGGTTCTTGAATGCAGGAGGCTGAAAGATGCAGTTCGCTGTGCAGATTTCAAGCTGGGATCACGCGCGGCTCAAGCTACGTCACTATCGCAGGAACCCGCTGGCTTGGCGCGAGATCTCCATCTTCGATGCGGCCTCGCCATCACGTCTCTGACTAATCAATGCCTTCTTCACACCTTCTCGTGATGTCGACTTCCTCTTTTGTCGAGACAGGTGCGATTGATCGATGCGCTGTTTGCGACCACCGTTGGCACCCCCAACTACCTCATGATCAGCAGTACCAGGACGCATTTCATCCGGGAGGACGTCGAGCCATGTTCGCATCATGCGAACGGGCCAGACGAGGCTAATGAGCGCGACACCGACGGTGTGCATGCCGACCGGCAGTAGAGGCTGGCAAACCAGACACAAGGAGCCGGATGCAATTGTTCGAGGGCGGTCGGAAAAAGAAAACATGTAATAAACCTGTAGCGCGAATACCAGGGGTTGCGCTTGACATGTACCTTTGCTGTTCACTCAAAGAACTCTAGCTTCATGTCGCATCACTGGACGTGCTGCTCGATCACCTGATAAAACACGAACGAACACACGACGTATCCAAGGATCCGGAGACAAGAAAAAGAAACCAGAAGCAGCTTTCTTGGCATGCTGCGACACCAGGAATTCATGTTCCCCCACATTCTTGGTCACTTAGTAAGGGCTGACCCCTCATCCTCAATGTATTACGCCCTGGCGGTTCGCCAATGCCATTGGACACCTCGGGAACACTGAAATCTGACTGGCAATACAAGTCATCGGTGCATGCGGAATGTCAAGATGATCACCAGTCGCTTAAACCGGTGGAGTCAAAATTTTCGCAACTCGCTCATATCTTCTCAAACGTTGGATGCCTTACGAAGCTGTTCGTTCTCGACATCGGAGGTGTGTGATCTTCGCATCCGCCTGATCCTCTTGTACCTCAATCACTGCTCGGCGAGGCATATGAGCGCATTAGAACCAATACAACCATGCGACTTAAATTACACTGCCGCCAAAGCGCTGGCTCCGGGTATCCATGTGGAGATTTCGGGTTTAAGATGTTCAACCAAATTAGGAGTATAAAATGTCATGTGAATTCCTCACTGAAACGTCAAATAGGCAGAATACCCATTTCAGAGCCGCAGGTACACCGTGGTTTTTGTTTGTAGGCCTCTCTTCTACTTTGGTCCCCACTTGGTTGCCCCTTGACACCTCCTCCTACCTCTGACTTGCTACTTCTCGCCCACTCTCTTCTGCACCTCACTATCTTATCGACTACAAAACTCCAAACATGCGATACTCCACCCTGATCCCGGCTCTGTTAGCCATACGCTCAACTCTTGCAAGACCAAGCCAACCCGAGATAGCCAACACCACAACTCTACCCACTCACTTCGGTCTACTCACATTCCCACACTTCCAAGCTCTCGACATCTTCGGCCCCATGGACGTTCTCAACTCGCTCTTCATGTACTACCGAAACACCTCCATTGTGCCGCAGTTTACAGTCTTCAGCAAGACCATGGACCCGGTGACGTCGGCCATGACGGATGGAGGCTTTGGTCAGGAACTTTTGCCCACTATGACATTTTCGGACTATCTGGTGAGTCGTGATGGTCGTGTGGAAGTAAATACAACTAATTGGAAGAAGAACAGGCAAAACGAAAATGGTGGTGGCGACATGCCTTCTACGACAGACAAGGGCGCAATCGATGTTCTCTTTGTCCCTGGCGGAGGAGGGACTCGTAGAGACATGACTGAGGAGATCAACTTCGTCAAAGCCACATACCCAAACGTATGTACTCATTTCCTACATACCCTTGCAATCACTAACAAGCTACTCCACAGCTCAAATACATCGTCTCCGTCTGCACCGGCGCCACACTCCTCTCACGCGCAGGCATTCTCGACGGCCGCAAGGCAACCACGAACAAGGCTGCCTGGCCTTGGGCAACATCGACCGGCCCCAACGTTGACTGGGTGCCGACTGCGCGATGGGTCGAAGACGGCAACATTATCTCGACCAGTGGAGTTTCTGCGGGTATCGATGGAACTTATGCGTTTGTCAGTCGCGTGTATGGGGAAGAGGTTGCGCATTTCTTGAGTTTGGCGTTGGAGTACAACCGTGAGACGGATGCGCATCATGATCCTTTTGGGAAGATTTGGGATGTTCCGGGTGCTACTTAGATTTCTCAACATCGAAAGAGGGATTGGGTGGGTAGTAGTGGGATGAGATTATAGTGTATGGGTAGATGCGATAGGCTGGCTCAGCCGCAGTGCATATGCATGTCTCTGCACGGCCTGCGTACCCTCAGCCTTTTCCGCAATGACACTCTTGACCCGTCGTCCCTCCTCCTCTATATGTCTCACACATCTGGCGCTTATCTTCTAATGTCTTCGTTGTCGCAAACCCCAGATCGCCCATACCTACCTTTCCGTGGTGTAAAGAACGACGACACAGCCTTCTTGCCACTGAACTCCGGGTTAAGAGAAATACGATGCGTCATCCTGCTACCTGGATATGGTGACAACCCTATCGAATGCGAGTTGGTGTATACCAACATAGACGAGAAGTCTGATGATCGCATACCGTACGTCGCGCTTTCTTACTGCTGGGGAGCCGTTGAAGATACCGTTGAGATCCAGTTGTATAGCCCATCGACAAACCCATCCAGCGCAAGTAAGGAGCCAATCAGCGCGCCATTTCGAATCACACAGAACCTCTTCATCGCACTCCAAGCCCTGCGAAACGAAAAGAGACAGTGTCTATGGATAGACGCATTATGCATCAACCAGCAAGACCCGCGAGAGAAGACACATCAGGTCCAGTTGATGGGGAAGATATACTCATCTGCTGAGTCGGTGGTTGTGTGGTTGGGACCGGAAAATGAATACATTCGATTTTTCATGAGAGCGTGGACTAAACACATACGGCCCCTGATAGATCATGATACTGTTGAGCAGACGTGGGGTCTCTGGGGTACATTGCGTGAGGATACACACCCTCTGTGGACATGTATGGCACAAGACAAAGTACTCAGTCAACTCGGATCGGAACTTGACGATGAGATGCTCGACAACTCCTCGCCTGACCGATGCAGAAAGGCGATGTTAGCCGGTTTAAGAAGTCTCGTTAGTCGGCCGTGGTGGAGCCGAATATGGGTTCTGCAAGAGGTCCTCCTAGCTCCCAAGGACGAGGAATCGAGACAAAAGGTCGAATTCAGGATTGGCAACGGCACATTGCGTTGGTTTGAGATACTAAACACCCAGATAACGAGCGCAAAATGTTTGAAATTGACCTCGTATGAGAAGATTCAGCGAGCGTGGGCGTATCTTATAGCGAGGGACGCGTTACCCGAATACATGGAGGTGAAGTGGCTGCTCAGGTTTACGAGGCGATTCCACGCTTCAGACCCTCGGGATAAACTTTTCGCACTACTCCTCCTGGCTTCAGACACCAAAGATTGCCTGTGGAAAGAGCCTTTGATCAGCCCAGATTACACCAAATCGACGAAGACCGTGTTCGATGACTTGATACGTTGGAAGCCAAGCTTGGCGGGCCTCAAGATCGACGTGGAGGGGATAGGTGATGTCAAACTAACCGGCGATTCGGAATGGCCGACAATGGAGGACGAATCTTGATGACTCTTATCCGTACGGGAACGGGATTGCTTTTACACGAATGTCATCAAGCATAGACTTACCTGTACGTCGATGTGAACTACGTGTACTTACTCTCCGAAGAAGCCTACGATGAGCTTGACATGGTGAGATACCAATCAGTAACACGAATAACCATGCACAAAGAAGCATCCTAAAGTCAGTAGAGTGCACGTACAGGAGTGCATGCCATAATCACTGCCGACTGAAGACGTTCTATTTCGCAAATTCGTATTAATGACAACATTCTAATGTACAGCTTCAGGAGCTTACTGACCTTTGAAGCCCACGGCAACACCATCCGAGTGACCTTTCATAAAAGTTTCTGTCAATGGCGACGTGGCTATCGTCGGAAGATTGAGCAATCGAAACTCTACTGCAGGCGAACACCAGCAGTACCCTTCTTCTTCGCCTGATCATCAAACGCATTCCCCAACCCACCACCCCCACTCCTACTAGCTTCAAGCGAACTCTCAGCCATCTTCTTCTTCTCAGCAGCAACCTTATCGAGTTGCTTCTTCGTCTTCGTGTTTCCACTACCCTTGCCGTGGAACTGGTGACTGAGCTGCTTGAAGGCTTCTTTCTGGTTCATGTGGCGGCCGTGTTCGTCAACATACTTCAGCTCAATGTTGGGCGTGTACTCCTTGTTAAAGAGCTCGGCGAGACGGCGGCTCTCGACCATGTCGGCGCTGGTGTTGTTTTTGCGGGCCCATTCTTCGCGCTCGCGGGGGGTCATGTTGTTCCAGCGGGCGGAACCTCGTTCGCGTTCACGGGCGATCTTGCGTTGGCGCTCGGCGTCGGCTTCGGCCTTGATCTTGTCGGCGAGGAACTTTTGGCGGTCGCGGTACATGGCGTTCTTGTCGGAGGCGTCGGATTCTGTGACTAGACCTCGTTGCTTGAGTAGGGCGAGAGTAGCACCTAGACCTTGGTCGACAGTCTTCTCAGCCTCGAGACCCGTTTCGGTAATGTCTGTGGAGCGAGCGCGCGAGATGCTGCGGTTGCGAGCCTCTTCTGCTTCGGCTGCCTCAGCGTAGGATTGACCCATCTCGACATCACCGTCTTCGTCAGCGACGGGGATATCGCCCATGGACTTCGTGCCCTCCGAGATGTGGCTGGACTTTCTGCGTTTCCTGCGGGCCTCCTCTTCGTCGGCATCGCCTGCAGCACCTAGGTTCTGTACGAACTCGGTTGTCTCGTCGATAACGAGGCCACCATCACCATCTTCGGTAGACTCCATAACGTCTGGCTGAGGTGTTGCATCTTCGCGCAGTTGCCGTGCGAGATCTTCTGGTCGCATCTTCTTGCGCTTCTTGAGGGCCTTTTGACGCTGTGCCGCGAGATTCGCTTGGAGGTCGTCGTCATCCACGAACGACTCGTCGAACACCTTCTTCTTCTTCTGTTGTGGTGCGGAGGATTCACCGCCGTCAATGTCCATGTCGTCGCCAGCCGCAGTGTCTTCCGCAGGCATCGCAAGCATTTCCTCATCATCTTCGACGCGTTCTCGCTTGGACTTCTTGCCCTTCTTCTTCTTGGGCTTCTTCATCTTGACTTCCGAAACGTCCATGTAGTCGTTGGTGGGCGCATCCTCTTTGAGTATGTCCAGACTGATCGCAACCTTCTTTGGTCTTGAAGCACCCGCGACTTCAGCCTGCACGTCTTCAACAGTTCGGCCCTTGCCGTCCAATGTGAACGCATTGCGCTTCTTGCCCTCAATCTCCTCGTCGTATTGCGCAAGTATCGACTTCTGGCCTCCCTCGTCCATATCATTGGGGTCGTATGCGCGCTTCCGCTTCTTCGAATCGAGTCGCTCTTGTAGTCGCTCCTTTTCTCTGAGTTCAACCGCCTCCAGCTCGTCATCCTCTTCCCCATCGACTGCAGTGTCCTTGAGAACGAGGATCTGATCTTCATCGTCGAATTGGTCGACCTCGTGTCCGACTTTGACACCAGCAAGGTCCTTGTCGGTATATTGCATGGCCTCGAGTGCCTGGCGCTCGCGCTCTTCAAGCTCCTTGCGCATCTGCTCCTCCTTGGCAATCTTCTTCTGGCGCTTCTTGCTGCTCTTCAGCCAGGCCAGGTCATCGTCGACGTCTGCTTCGTCCGCCAGCCCCTTGCCCTCAAGCTTTGCAAAGCGCGCCGCCTTTTCGCGCTCCTTCTTGATCGCCGCGGCGCGTTCTTCACGTCTTATCTTGGCCAGTCGCGCTTCCTCCAATTTCTTCCAGTTGTCCGAAGCGGCGGCCTGGCGCGTGTCGATGGTGCTCGCAGGCTCTTCGTCCGAGTCGTCGCCATTTTGCGCCGCCTTGAAATCGAGACCGGGGGCTGCGGGTGCTGCAGGTGTGCTTCCACCGGGGAGAGCAGAGAGGCCCATAGACAGACGAATCTTGTTCGCCTCATCGATGGATAGGTCCGCCATGGCTGATGCGGTCGTGATGTCCTGTCGCAACGCAGAGGTTTATGGTCCAGGAAGGAGAGTTGTGACGGCGCCGGAGGTTCAGGATCTTCAATACACTTTCGAGCCGTGTGCAGAAGTGATCGTCGCAAAGAGTGAAAGCACACTCAGTAATTCCCCAAAGGTGAAGTTCGGTGATGGGTGCCTACTCGTGACCTGCGGGCAACATCGCACCTCCGCCCACACATTTCCCGCCAAGCCACTACCCACTAGCGCGCCGGCGTTCAGCCGAGCGACATAAAAAAGTTGCGCGCCCTCACCCATCGAGTTCTCACCACAACGCCCTGTGTCAACGTCTCCTGTCCACGTCCTTTCGGGGAGCCGTGTGATGGTTGAGATGTTGACAGTTCGTCCATCATGGAGCCTTCTTCCTCAATAGAACGCTTCGGACGACAGGCAGCGCAGACCAACTTTGGCAGCTTCCGGCAGCCTGAGCTCACCGTTCACGCGGTTCGAGCTCGGTGTATGGTTGTCTGTCAGGCAGACTGATTCCGTTTCCCTTTTGCTAGGCCGTTGGCCACTGATGCTTGGGACTAACCCAGTCGGCTACATGCCATCTTCATGAGTGATTCTTTAGCGATTGCGCTGCTTTGCGCTGGTTCATCGTGAAGCCTGATAACTTTGTATGCGACTCGCTCGAGAAGCGCGACAGACGCGTTTACGCGTTTTGGAGGAATTGCATCATGCGCGAAGTCACATGAATGCGCTTGCTATGCAAAGAGCCGTAGAGGCTGATTTGAGAACGAAAGCCTCCCTCTGCACAGAAGCCGCTGCCTCATGCATCAATGAGCTCCAACATGTCATAATCATTAGGCACATGGTCTCGTATTGACGTCGTGAGTATGCCATAGAATATACATATGTTACAATGTCTCAGCCTTGAAGCCGCTAGATTGCAGTCCAATTGCTGGTAGAAGACCACATAGCCTCCTCGTGTTTCTCATGTCAATCCTTCGTGACTTCTTCCAGACCACACATTTAGTTCGCAGCCGGTGCCTCACCCCTCGCCAGTTTAAGCAGCTCAGCCTCTCTCCGCTCCTTGATCAACTTCTCCCTGACCAGCACTCTATCCGCCTCCGACCTCTCCTTGAACTCCTCAATCTCCTTCATCTCGGCCAACTCCTCCTCCGTCGGCTTGATCTCCACAGCGCCTATCTTCTCCACCAGTGCCTCCAGGATCTCGCTCTCCGACTGGTCTCTCATGTCAATCGAAAACGTGGGTTTCGAGGTATCGGGTACGAGCGTATTGCGCGGGTTTGGCGTTGCGGACGGTGGTGAAGTGTCTGATTGTTGCGTTGTGGGAGAGTTTGTGGAGCCAGTCGATGGCTGTGTTTTGGTTGCTGTGAAGATGTGTAGGAGTGAGGGACCGTCGGGGTCGTTGTGTCGCGCGACTTCCATAGGGATGGACGGGTTACGGTATTTCATCCGGGGTAGCATATTGCGCCAGAATTTCCTGTTCGTACTGTGAGCACTACATCTTGTCATTGCGTACAATTACCAGCTCTCAAACATGTGCCTGAATTGGCCTCATATTCTTGGCCCTTCTCTGGTACTTGTAATGGAGCAATGCCAACATACCTTGCCCCTCTATGTCCTCCGTAGAGTTTTGTGTTGAATTCCATGCTAATCTTCGACACCTCTTTGGGCAGTATGAGCGCGCCTGGTCCACATCTTATCCATAACAACTGTCGCAGGTACCAATGTCAGCGTCGTTACAATTCACGTATCTCGAGTTGGTCGGGTTCGATTGTAGGCTTCGACGTTTTCGGAGGTGTCTGCGGAGGTGGATCTTACGTACGTGCTGTGGTGCTTGTTAGTCTTGCTGAAAGAGTAGAGATGCACTCGGAGATTAGCTACTTGCCTCGCGTAACTTGCGCATGCGCTTCAATATGTGCACCATGGTTGCTGTGATGTGATATTGAACTGGGGTTGCGGAGTTCGAGAGATTCTCGGGCATCGCCCGTAGCGCGATCGTGTCTTGGCAGCCCTGCAGATGAGATGCGTCAACTGTTCACTCAAAAAAAGAACAGTCTGGATGGATAGTAGTATAACTGAGCATTACAATGATTGAACGCCTCTCCAGGTATCAGAGCTACATTATTCTTCCACTAGACATATCCAAATCTCTATCCCCATTTGCCGAGTACTTCCACGAGCCAGTCCAGAAACTGTCCAATTCCAACACTGTATTCGCATCGCTCTGTTGGGTATTATATGAGATCGCACACGGTACTTATCACGTTCCTGTCGTGCGACTCTACTTCACAGGAAGCAGGAGTGCAGGCCTTTACCGAGCGGGTTGTGCGGCGGCGGCACGCGCCTCAGCGGGAGTTGGTCCTGCCATGCGCTTGCTCCTGTAATCGGGATTAGCATGTGCATTCCATCTCAGAGTGATTCAGCTTACATGAATGACCTGCTGAGGAAGGAGATGATGATCATGGGCATCCACGAGGGCATCTTGGAGAATCCCCAGGTGACGTATGCGTAAGGAATGGCAAGGTTGTACTGCTGGAGAGCACCGTTGAAGGGGTGGAAGGGACCCTCGTACGGGGTGACCTGCTCAATCTCGTTGTCAACGATGAGCTTCTTGAAGGTCTCGGTGGTGGTGCTGGTGCGGTTCAAGGGCTTGTAGCGAACGACGGGGACGGGCGCGGACTGGTCAGCCATGGGCTTGGGGATCTGGAAATAGTAGAGCGCCGGTGCGCCGACAGACCATGCGTTGCAGAGGAGAGGCTCGGTTTCGCAGTCAAGGTACGCAAACTTGGGCGCATCAGGCTTCGCAGCCATGATGGGGAGAGAAGCCTGGTTGATGTTAGTGTCGGTCATCTGTATGTTCGCATGCTATACGTACGTTCCATGCCTTGGTTGCGTTGCCACACAGGCCAAAGCAGGTGGTGTTGCCGCCAGTGGTGAAGATGAGCCAGTCCTGTGTGGTAGGAGGGCTGGCGGTAGCGTCAACGGTAAGGGTCTCTTTCCAGTTCTCCAGGGTAATTGGGTACTGGATGGCGGCAGCTGCGTTAGAGGCCACCTTGCTCGTTGCGGTGTCGACCGGCGCCGATGGCATGGAGGGGATGGATGCGGACACGGCAGCCGTCGCCTTGTTGAAGAAGCCCTTCACCTTGTCAAGGAGAGGCACCTGCTCCTCGGCGACAGCGAGCGCCGGGAGAGCGAGAACGAGGCCTGATGAGAAGCGCATGTTGATTGTGTGTGGGGGGAGATGTGGTGTTGAACTGCGAAAGCTGCGGGCGGTATGCTTGCGCTCTTCTGCCTGATGATGCCACAGGGTCCAATTGGAGCGACGTTGAAGTAATGTGGGGGATGCAGCTCAACGTCAGAGGCAACCACTAACAGTCGTGAAGGAGCGATAGAAGTGTAGATGCAATTGTCGCGCGAAGATCGCAAGGAAGTTCCCAGGTCGAGATAGCTAATAATATGAGGAATAGGGATGAGGACTAATAACCCGGCTCTTCTGCTCGAGCTTGGCAGTCCAGAGCTCTGCCGCGAAATTGGGAAGCCTGGGCCAACCGTTCGTCAACAGCCTTCACCATCACGGACCTGGTGCGTACGCGTTCACTCTTCACCAACCGGACGCGTTACAATGTACACATTCGCGACAAGGTGGACGGAGTACCCTATGACGCGAGGATCCATTTGGACAAACACACATCAACTATCTCTCACACAGGTTTGCCTGCCCAGATATGCATTCTCAGCATTCCATCTCACCTCATCTCGTTCCATCCCGTCATCATCATTTCCTAGTAAGCCCGTCAAAACTCCAACCTGGTTGCACAATATGTGCCGCCAAAGTGAAGATGAGATCCTCCCCACTCTCCGATCTAGAAAGTCGTTGAAATGGGGCTTCTATTGACACGTCAGTGCAACCCTATCGAGCTCTAGGGTTCTGTCAACATACTCTCATCCTGCAGCTTCCGCGACACATTGGCACTCATCGACGTCCTAGAGCCTGCTGTTAGTAAGCTATTGCCAGGACCCCTTGGAGTCTCCGTCGTGGAAGTGTCAATACCTGGGCCCAATCTCCTCGCTAGTTCCTCTCTGAACGCCTTGTTCGGTTCTGGTCGATCATCGGCTTCTTCGTCTGCGGAGTAAGCGGTACTCCACCCACTAGCTCTTGACACTGGCGGATGGCTATCGGCGTCCCTTGCTTGAGCTCGCTCGTGCTCTTCTACCTCGCTACTGTGTGCTGTTTCTTCGTACAATACTTTGCCCGCTTTCGGGTTACCACTCCTGTCCTTTTTCTCTTCAGCTGCCACACTACGTAACTTGCGTGGGCCGCAAATATCGCCAAATATGGCGGCCATATTGGGTGGTCCTGCTGAGCGTGGTGGAGGGGGTCCAGATGGAGGAGGTGGTCTTGCTGCTGGTGGGGGCGGAGGAGGTGGTGGAACTGGAGGAGGTGGTGGAACTGGAGGAGGTGGTGGAACTGGAGGAGGTGGTGGAACTGGAGGAGGTGGTGGTGGGGACGGTGGTGGGATTGGGGGAGATGCCGCTTGCTGGGGAGCTGACATCGGGATGCTTTGTAAGAACTCGGATGCAAAACGATTTGATGGCGATGGAGCGCGTGGTGCGTGCGACATGATTGGTGAGGATGATCCTGAATGACCCTCTGATACATCCGGAGAAGGGGGTGTATCTGGGTATGGAGGTATGACAGAAGAAGGAGGCGTATCCGGGTATGGAGGTATAACAGGAGAAGGAGGTGTATCTTGATGTGGGGGTATAGTAGGAGAAGGAATACCCTCTGGATGTTGAGCGAGAATAGTTGGAGAAGGAACGCGCTCTGGATATTGAGCAGCCATAGTAGGAGAAGGAACGCTCTCGGGATATTGAGCTGCCATAACAGGGGAAGGGCGTGTGCCCAGGTACGGCACTTGATCATGAGCGGGCTGTTCATCAGCCCCTCCATGCTCCAGATAATCATGGTCTCCATAATCATTGTTTCCATAATTTCCATATCTGTCTGGCATCGGCCAATCCGGAGCTTGGTCGTAGAAGCCTGCTGCTGCACCATGTTCAGACGCCGGAGGCTGGGCCGAATCATTGTTTCCATAATTTCCATATCTGTCTGGCATCGGCCAATATGGATTTTGATCGTAGAAGCCTGCTGCTGCACCATGTTCAAACGCCGGAGGCTGGGCCGGTAGCACATACCGGTCGTGCGCTACTGAAGCAGTGGGGGTTGTACGATTGGGAGGAGTATTGGGCCGAATAGGTCTGCTCGGCCGTCTTGGAGCCGGTGGAGGAGGATATTTCGGAGCAGTAGGGGCCTGAGAATTGCGAGCCACTGGAGTTGACTGGGGAATGTGAGTTCCACTAGGTGCAGGAGGCTGGACACGAACCTTGGGAATCGGCGAGCTACGGTTCTTCTTCCTGTCTTCCTCTTGCCTTCGCTTCTCAGCTTGCCTTCGCTCCTCGTCCTGCCTCCGCTTCTCATCCTGCCTTTGTTTCTCAATTTGCTTTCGTTTCTCATCCTGCATTCGTTTCTCGTCTTGCCTTCGTTTCTCATCCTGCCTTCGATTTTCATCTTGCTTCCGCTGTTCATCTTGCTTCCGCTTCTCATCTTGCCTGTGTTTCTCACGAAGCATGTCTTGTTCACGGTGGGGAGTCCCACTATCCGTAGGAGGCTGAACACGGATCTCTGGAATCGGCGAGCTACGGTTCTTCTTCCTGTCTTCCTCTTGTTGTCGTTTCTCACGATGTTCGTGTTCAAGTCGTTTCTCGTCTTCACGGCGGCGCTCGTCTTGTTCACGACGATGGCGTTCCCTTGCTTCCTTCTCAGCAGCCATTTGTTTCGATTCATCGCCCCGCGTCTTTTCAGGTTTCCGTTCGGCCCATCTGACACGCTCAGGTTCGCTCTTTCGTATTTTTCCCCTCTCTCTCCTTTCGCCCTCTCGAAGTCTGTCACTATAATCCTTCGCATCTGTCTTCTTCTTCCTCAGCCCGTCAAGGGCGTTCTCCAACGCGCCTTTGGTCCGGTGACCTGCTTCATGCTCGGCTTTGATGTGCCTATAGGTGGCCATGAAGTGATCCCCGAGACCCTTGGCTATGCCGCCTTTGCTTTTGTACTCGGGTAGGCTACCGAACGGTGTGCCATCCGGTCCTTTCTGCTGCCTTGTTGGAGATCGCGATGCGCCTATGCTACCTGGACGATGATCCGGTTGTTTGGTACGCGAACGGTCACGCCGATGTGAGCTCCGGTGCCCTCCAGACTTTCGATGATGAGATCGATGGGGTGTACGAGATCTTTTACGTTCTGTACGGTGTGCTTCCTTGCGTCCATGGGACCGCGATCGGGGACGAGGTTCGGGTGCCAGGTCTTCCCATGAAGTTTGATAACCACTGCCACCACTTCCTGGTCGATCCCCTTCTCCATGCAATGGAGCATCTGGCTTCCGATGCCCATCATGCAAAGTACCTGCTGGCCCAGCACCACCCGTCACATGATACTCTGAATCCTCGTTCTGAGCAGGCTCGATGACTGGGTCGCGGATGTCACTGCGCCGGCGAGATCTCGAGCGTCTATCGCGGGATCCGGATCGTTCATGACGGCGTCTTCCACGCTCTTCATCCCTTGATCTAGAACGATGACGACTGTGTCGATGTCTACCACTTGATTCATGGCCATGTTCATCACCGCGCCTATGCCTACGATGCCTCCTATGCCCATCCTTCCCACTCTCGTCCATACCGCCTCCCTTCCTATGTCTCCTGTGCTTCCCCTCTTCTTTCCCCTTCCCCTTCTCTTCTGCTGCCTTCTCTTCTTTGTAGCTGCGATACAACTTCACACCCTCAACCACAGCTTCGATGACCAGTTTGGCACCACTTTTCTCGTGACGTTCCGAGACCAGGTCTTGGACTTTTCCTTGGACTTGCTTGCGGTACGCGTCGTCGTCAGGCATCGGTAGTGCTCAGGTTGCGCGTGCGGATACATAGTCGGAAGGGAGTAAGTTGGGTTATGGAGGGAAAGCATGTGAAGCGGAAGGTTTGTGAATGTGATGATCATGGGCTGAAGTGGCAGCAAGCGGACGCCACTGCTAGGAGTGTGGTTTGGGGTATGGAATGGTGTGCTGGGCAGGCAAACGCGGTGAATGTGTGAAGATGATGTCGCGTGAACATGGAACGAACGGGGTTCTGTCATGGATGGAAGTGCAAATGCGAACGAGACCAAGGTCCAATAGCCAGCGATCAGGATAAACACGCCGATGATCGATGTGCGGTGTAATAGAATCGAAGCGCTGAAGACATGGGAATGGGGTAGAATTGATCTTATTAGTATTATGATATTGCAGCAGAAGTAGACGTTCCAGAGCTTAGCTGGTGAATTCTCCTCAAATGTATTGTGGTGTCGTTCTCAGTAGGCGCGTCATCGCAGGCATCGCAGTCGTCGTGCTAGGAGCGCTCCAGAAAGACACTCCAGGTCCGCGCAGACCTAAAAGGTTCGCATGTTGGCTAAGTCCAAAACGCCGTTGTTATGCAGCCCATATCGTGTCCCCCAAGCCGTCTATCCTTCCGCTTTCATCGAAATCTTCCTCATCCAATAGTCCACAGTATTACCACCCTTATTCCCATGTCCGTCCGCATTCTCATTCGTGCATGCTACTCCTTCTTCTTCGCTTCGCCCTTCTTCACCCTGACACCTTTGCCTCTGAAGTCGTTGGCGTCTAACGCATCGGTCTTTCCCAAGCCGAGGTCTTCGGCCTCCTTCTCTAGTTGTTGCTTCTGCTTCTTTGCGGCCGCGTTGAGCAGGTATGGTCGGATGAGAAGGTATGCGCCGACGATGGCGATGATGCGAACCCAGCGCTGGGCAGTCATCTCTTCGAAAGACTTGATCGAGTTGTTGACCAGGCGGTCCTTCCACTCGACCACGTTGTCAAGTACATAGTCCATCTTGGGTGTGTGATGTTTGTATTCGCGGTTGTAGTTTTGTTGCGCAGTAGTGTGAAGGAGCGACGTCCGGGTGCGATTACGGTTTCGAGGGAAGATGACTCGAGAGAAGTGTTGGGTGACTTTGTCGATAGACCGATGCGTATGGGATTGTGCGTGAAAGACGTTGTTGGCGAGGAAGTAATTGCGCGCAATAACAATAAATCACTCAAGCGTGGACCCCCAGGTGGCAGAACCCTGGGCGGTGACTTTCTCCCCGGTCATCACCGAGGCCCCGCTATTGGCCCGCGTTAGGCGCGTCGCGTCGCTCGTCTGGCCGGCAATTACACGCGATTGAAGTTTAACCACGAGGCGATATGGCGTCAAACGATGATGCCAAAGCAGAGCGCGAAGAGGTAGAGAACTTATTGTCTGAACTGATGATGAGGTCGGGCTGACAATATGCACAGCGGCTCAAATCTGCCCTCTGGTACTCAATCGGCCAATTTGTTGACGAGAAGACGTTGGAGAACGATCTAAACGCTACACCTCAGTTCATCGGCGCGCTTACGGAGCTTGTGTATACCCAAATTGGTACGAACTACCTCGAGTTTCGGATACTGGCCAGACTACAGGGTGCTGACTCTGTCACAGCAAACACAGCCCGCGACCTCGAAGTCTTCTCCAAACACGCCGGGCGCAATACAATCAATACAGACGACGTACTACTACTTGGGAGACGAAACGAACAACTGCAAGGCTTGCTGGAGAAGGAGCTTGAGGACATTAGAGCTGCAGAGGGCAGAAAGGCAGACGGGCAGCCAGTTGCTCGCGCACAGCCAGCCGCGGCAGGGAAGAAGCGCGGCAGGCCTGCTGGTACTGGCAAGGGCAAGGCAAAAGCTTGAATGCACCCTGGGAAGTATGTATGGACATGTCTGAAAGGTCATTGCGCTCGGAGTTTTGGAGTTGTGGTATGATACCCTCGAGCACGCCTGGTGAAGGCATGCTCTGCACGTACATCTTGTGCACACAGTTATGATCGGACATTTTACAAGCCAACAACCAAAACTACAATAGTCATGCGCAACTACTGACTTTGTCTGTGGTTGAGACTACTGGGTGCGGCCAGTTTGACACCCCAAAGCTAGCCCCTGCATCCGAGGGAAAGCGCCGGTACGCCAATCGTTCGTCAGCACGCCGCGCCTTCCAAACCCGTCATCCCCAGGCTTCTTCTCACCACCACTGCATTCGTCGAGATGTGTTATTCAGCCGTGGAAACGATACATAGGCGCACGAAAGCGATGAAACGTTTGCTGATGACTGTTTCCGTAGGCTAATTGCAATAGATCGTTGTTCGTGGATGCCACGCTGTTCATCAGATGCAGTGCCTTTATCTGTATTGTCCGCCCTTGAATTGCTGCAGCAGTCAAGCTCCGCATTGTTTCTTTGTTATAATCACTAAAAGGCTGGTCCTCTTCCTTGTTGCAAGTACAGATCCACCAAATATCCGCCTCCACCATGGACGCCCAGACCCGAGCAAAGTCATTAGACATGACTTCAGTCGAACTGGGGAGCTTGCCTTCACCAGCTCCCACGTACAGCTCTGGATTTCTTTCGTATACCGCTCCTCATACGCCCCAATACGCCAATCCCGGTTCAGCACCAAAAGGTGACGCCTCAAACAACCCCTATCATCAAGCCACGCATGAGTCGCCTTCTTCGATCCCGCGTTACAGCAAAGCAGCCTCAAAGGAGATGGAGGAAGCTCAGGTCAAGCCCGACTACCAGGATACAAACCACCCCCACTTTGCACAGTCTTCAGGACCGGGTTTCCCAACCTCATTGCCTACACGGAGTCGAATGCCGCGAAAACGTATCCTTGTGCCGTGGGTACTTTTCGCCATTTTCTTCCTCATAACGCTGTGATTCACTTCGATTCTAGCTGGCGCACGGTTCTTCTCCATCATCCATCCAACATTGCCAGTTTCTACAGTGCAGGAGATTCATATCTACGTCAATGGAGAAGTGCTTCAAGGGAGCGTCTCTGTCTCTACTAGAACTCTTGCATTGCCCACGGACACTATTACTTCCACTGCAAATACTCCAAGCTCAACGGCACCGTCATGCGAACCAATACCTGACACGGGGAAGGACATGGACGGTCTTTCTACGGTGCTTGAAGGACGCACTGTACCAGCGCCTACAGGTTTCATCTTCAAGAGACGAGCCCCATGAGGAAGACATTTTCTCCGACTGAGGTGCTGCCCCACTCCAGGCGCCGGAGCAGCGCGTCATGAAGAGCAGCCTCATCAAAGGCAGTGAACTGTAGATTGCTTTTGCAATGAAAGTCGTTCACATGATTCATACGCATTCTCAAGCACATGTTAATCTGTTTCTTTCAAACCACCGACTACTGCATCAACGCAGCCTTGCAAAATTTCTCCGGGTATCACAAAACCCGTCCGCTGCGTCTACGAGCTTCGGCAACAAGAAGACCGAAGTTTTCATGTTCATAGCGAGTCGCTGCAGGATCGTGTTCCCAGCGAACCGCTCTCGCAGTGTTTTGAAACATGCGGCTGCACAGTTGAAACGGATTCGCTAACCCAAAGCAGCGAGACTGGAAACGCTCGCTTCCCAGCTTCTCCACCACCATGCCCACCCAATCTCGGATGGTGCCTGTCGCATAAACAAGCATCGCGGACAACGCCCAAAAAGGGCAGACTAGCACTTCATCTAGATATATTGCTGGCGTGTCGCCTCTTGGCATCTGTCAAGGCGATGTCGTTCCCGTTGCCAGTGGCTGGGATAGCGTGAACGGGTGTCATGGAGGATTCCAGGCGGTTCGTCCTGATCTCCGGATCTATTAATCTCATGCCAGGCGCCTAAGACAGGGAATAGATCTGCGTGGGGTGAGTACAAAAGCTGCCGTCGTCCTGATTTCTCCAACTCATCATTCCATCAGGCCAGTCCTTTCTTGCACAACACTCGTTCCGGTTTTTGCCAACTTCATTCTTTACACTACATTCATTTCGTGATCAGGCATCACTAGCATATCTTTGCATATCCAGTCACTGTACATATCACACCAACGACACAAATTTGAAACTTCAAGATGTTCACCAAGGCCGTTTTCACCAGCGCTCTCCTCTCCGCCGTCTCGGCTCACCAGAACCTTCACCAGCTCTGGGTCAACGATGTCACCCCCGGTTACCAGGTCGGCATCCGGATGCCACCTTCCAACAGCCCCGTCACCGACGTAACCAGCGACGACATCGTTTGCAACGTCGGCGGCTCCAAGGTCCCCTCCGGTGTCGAGACCGTTGCTGCTGCTGAGGGTGACACAATCAAGGTCCAATGGGACCAGTCCGGCCACCCAGGTCCTATCACCCACATGCTCTACGGACCCGTCGACGATGCTGCCCAGGCTACCGGTATCGGTGCCGGATGGTTCAAGATTGACGAGCTCAACCAAGTCGACGGCAAGTGGGCCAACGAGATCATGGAGAAGAACAACATGACCCACGAGTTCGCGCTTCCTACTGGCCTTGCATCCGGCGAGTACTTGCTCCGTTCGGAGATGCTGGCACTTCACAGCGCCCAGACTGTTGGCGGTGCTCAGTTCTACATTGGCTGCATGCAGCTCAAGATCACCGGTACCGGCAGCGAGGGCTCGTGCACGCCTACCATTGAGCTCCCCGGCGCCTACAAGGCTGAGGACAAGAACATCTACATCCCCGACATCTACAACGGCTTCGACGCGACCACATACAAGGCTCCCGGTGGCGCCGTTGCTTCCTGCGGAGGTGCCGGTGGTGCTAAGCCATCCTCTCCTGCTGCCAACTCGACCGTCCCTGTCTCTTCTCCCGCCGCCGCCGCCTCTTCTGTCGTTGTTGCCGAGACCAGCGCCGCCGCTCTCCCTACCCTCGCTCCTGCCCGCCCCTCGATGAACGCTACCATCCCCAGCGCTGCCCCCGAGGCCCCTACCACCTTCGCTACTCTTGTTAAGCCCTCTGCTGGTATCGCTGCTCCCACCGGT